TAGCTTTTACCTATTTATTATTTAAGATTTTTTTTACTGTGATAAATCCACCATTCTATCAACCAAGCAATAATAATGACTTGCTTTATTTTTAGTTTATTAATAAGAGTACTTTAATTTGGCATCCTATGGAATTGTGCTTTGAAAGTCTAAGCTATTTTCTTCTGTAAATAAGCAGTGTCTTGACTCTTTATCTTAGAAAATTTTATTTTTCTAGGACACTCTGAGTTGTTGTAAGATTCACTTGGGACAGACTGAAATTCATGTCCATTTTTTATATTTTATATTAAGGGATATTATTGATTTATGAAATAGCCTTACAATTAACTTAATTTATAAATGAGCTCATTATCCTTCTAGTTTTTCAAATGTTCTTTATTTTCTTACAATATATAAATACGCTATGCAGAGAGAGAGAGAGAGAGAGAGAACAGCCAGTCAGCCTGTCTCCCTGCAGCTGCTGACATCAACTTGACAAGTAGACAACTGCATGAAGTGTATTTCTTCTAAGTCTAATTACTGCTACAAATTGCAATTATTATTTTTTTCTTTAGAAATATTTCATTTTTATTACTTCAATTTTTTGAGATTAATATAATTACATTTCCCTTTTCCCCTTATCCTTTCCATGCCTTCTCTCTTTCAAATTCATGGCCTCTTTTTTTCATTAATTGTTATAATATACCTATATGTATATGCACATATATTCTGAAACATAAGATGCTCATTATGTATAATGTTACTTGTATATATGTTTTAAAGACTGACCATTTGGTACTGAAGAACCAATTGGTGTGCTCTTCTCTGGGGAAGACTATTTCTCCTGCTCCTTGTCTATAGTTCTTTGGGTAAGGTTGAGGCCTCCTGGTCTTTCTTCCACCCACTTTGGCATGTCTAGTGTTGTCCTTGTTCAGCTCATGTTTAAGCTGTCATAATAATGAGACTTTATAGGTATAGCTTATGTCGTTCTTAGGAAAGACAATCTCATTGCAAACTCTCTGACCTTCTGGCTCATTGAATCATTCTGCCCCAGTTTTCCAAAATGTTCTCTGAGCCTTATGTGCAGGAGTGTTTTGCAAATGTTTGTGCAAATTGGTATGGGGTCTTACTAATTGTTTTTTACAAATTATTTTTATTTTACAACATCCTAAATTCCACAGCTATGTATCAGAATTATGACCAGAAATACTTCTTAAAAAAAAAAAACAGAAGTTAACTAGACAAATAGCAACACATGTTTTTGTTTTGTTTTAGTTATTGTGGTGGCATGCATGTGCTTGGCCCAGGGAGTGGCACTATTAGGAGGTGTGGCCTTGTTGGAGTAGATGTGGCCTTGTTGGAGGAAGTGTGTCACTGTGAGAGTGGGCTTTGAGACCTTCATCCTAGTTCGTTTGAAGACAGTCTTCTCCTGACTCTCTTCAAGATCAAAAAGTAGAACTCTTGGCTCCTTCTCCAGCACTGTGCCTGCCTGGACACTGCCATACTTCCTGCTATGGTGATAATGGACTGAATCTCTGAACCTGTAATTAAATGTTGTCCCTTATAAGAATTGCTTTGGTCAGGTGTTGCATCATAGCCACAGAAACCTGAAACTAAGGTAGTTATACAAAGAACAAATTGTGGAAGATCAGAGAAGATTCCTTAGGGTCATAGCACATATATGTAATCTCAGCACTGGAGAGGATGAGGAAAGATGATCTTAAGTTTGTGCTGGGTGTACATAGCAAGGGGAGGGTGAGGTGGAGTGGAAGAGAAAGAATACTACATAGAAAGGTGGAAGAGAAATAGTAAATTGGAAAACGGTCATTGGGACAGGGATGAAATAGTAATAGAACATTTAGCTACCATTCACAGAAAGTGTGTGTGTGTGTGTGTGTGTGTGTGTGTGTGTGTGTATGTTTTCTCATAAAGGCCCATCTGGACTTGAACTCTCTATGTAGCCTAAGCTGGCTATTAAAATCCTTATTTTTCCCCCACTACCTACAAAGTGTTGGGATTATAAGTATGTACTGACCATTCCTGTAAAACCTATTAGATTTTAAAAATTAGGTCAACAGTATAAAAATCAACAAACTTTATGTGATACCTAGATGAGTAAAATAAGAGGTCCTAAAAAGGCAAAACAATTAGATAAACATACAAATTATGTTTCAACAAGGGACAGAGCACTAAGGTTCTCATTGCTTGTAGAACGATGTAAAGAACACCAAGAATATTGATTGGTCAAGAAAGACAAGAAGTATATTTTTGTCCTGATTATTTTACCTGTAGTATCATGGAGTGAATAGAGATACAAAACTTACTATAAAAAATTAAATTTGTGGCTAACAAACAAGATGGCCCAGAGAGTAAAAATATTTGCTACCAAGCCTGATGACCTAAGAGACTCCTGCAATTTGTCCTCTGACATCTGTATATACACTGTGACATGCACACTCACACCCCTTGACATATGCACAGAAAAGAATAAGAAAAATATAATAAAACATTTTAAGCTAAAAAGAATGCTATTAATCAATACTAATACAGATCCCACTGATTTGAAATTGATAATTTTAGACTAAAGTGGATTGAACATTTTTCTGTGGGCTATTTACAAAAAAGAAACTCAGCTAAAAGAGTATTATAATAAGACAGAGCTGGAATATAGGCTGGGGAACGTGACTGGTGTAAATAAAATATTTTTGTGTTACAAATCTTTAAGCATCTCATGCCCTCATGCTAAAATGGCTATGATTCAAATACATCTGAAAGTAAATTTTCTCTTAAAATATCCCGCAATTCATGGATACCTTCTGCATAACACCTCTCTACCTTTGCAACAAGGTTGTAATTTTCCCCTGTGATATTTTTACTTTAACCTCAGGCTAGAGCAATGAGGGTAGAGAAGCAGGAAAGGGTAATCATAATCATTAAGGAAGCAGTGGAAGCAGGCATTTCAACCAAAAGGCAATGTTTCTAAACTTAAAGCCCATCTTAAAAATTAATAACATGTTATTTTCTTAATTACATTCTGGACAGTTTACACTGGCCACTAAATCAGTAAGGCCCCTAAATCTCCTTCTAGAGGAGAGTGCTGCCCTAGTCTTACCAATTTAAACCAACTGAAAGAGCAACATAACCCTATTTGTGACAAGGATAACTATGGTCTCTGTAGATATCTTTATCTGTTTTCAGAGACACTCATATCACCCATAATGTCCATGCCCACCAGTAAATCCATGCTTCCAGGAAGCCTCTGCCTCAGAAATATCCATGTTCCCAGGCATACTAAGCCTTTAGAGATTCCCAAAGCCTTAGATGTGTCTGTGTTCCCAGAGATTCCCATGGCTTTGGAGATAACCACACTCCCAGAGGGTTCATTTATGGTCATAAAAAGGATTATTTATGATCCTACAGCAGTCATGATGGAGGTCTGTAGACTGGATTTTTGCTTGATCTATCTGATCAAAGGGCTCCTCTGGACAGGGTGTCATTTAGACCTCCACTGACACTTAATGAAGGGGATTAACGGACTTCCAAAGTGCTAGGGCAATGCATTCCTTAACTGACATCTCTTCTAGTGACTCATCACAGGTTTCTAGTTTCTATTTCCAGAAAAATAATGACATTTAAAACGAAAGAACCAAAGACAGAAAATGGCCTCCAAGGATTCCGATTCTATTATCTATACATAGCAAATTATCTTTTCTACTGGCCAAGTTGGGAACTGGACAACAGGAGTGCACAGAAAGAGGTCTGAAGATCCCTAACCTGTCAAGCCTGGGTAAGCATACAGAACAGTGAAGTATGCATAGAAAAAAATCCCAAGGCTTCTAACCATTCTGCACATATTGGGTATGGAGAGATGGAAATGTATGGTGGGGACTTGTGAAAAAGCAGAGTGGTTCATGGGAGGCAAATGGTCCATTGGAGCAAATAGAACAAGCAGTGTTTGTTGGAGACAAAAGGTTGCAATACTTCTCATCTGTCTGGGTGAGCTGGACATAAGGCCAGACATTTCACAGTACATAATCACTGAGACTTCTAGCCTGACCTACTTGGTCAGGTTGGTTGCAAGGAGTATGCAGTTGCGTGAAGGTGTCCTGATACATAAGACCTGAGGACTCTAATCTGTCCCGTTGGTGTGAGCACAGCAGAACAATGGAAGAGTTCTCCATGGCTAGGGGTCCTGAGGTCCCTAACCTGTACAGGCAAGGGCAACAGGAGTACCCAGCAGTAGTGGAATTCCCAAGACATCTAAGCTATCTGATCAAGATCATGGCTGAGAATCTCCTTTGAGGACTTTTCTCTTCATCTTTTCTAGTTCATTCACATCTGTCTCAAGCACTGCTTTGATTTTTTTTAATTTATCAAAAGCTTCCTGATATGCTCTCTCTTTGGTCTTGCTGCCCCATGGAGGGAAAATGTTATATATCTCAGACTTGCATCTTAGACAAAAAAGAAAGAAAGAAGGAAAGAAAGAAAGAAAGAAAGAAAGAAAGAAAGAAAGGAAGGAAGGAAGGAAGGAAGGAAGGAAGGAAGGAAGGAAGGAAAAAAAGAAAAAAGTGGGTTAGTAAAGTAGTTTAGCTGGAGGAATTAATCACCAATACTTTGTATGCCAAGAAAACACTACTATAGTCAAAAGTAATATAACTTTAATGATATTGAAGACTGGACTTACTAATAATTGAGGGATAAATACTCCAGTAAAAAGACCCCTGCAGAGGAAGACACTTGGACTTCGATAAAAATAAAGCTCTTTCAAAAATCAAGTTAGGAGACATGAGGACCCACATCTTCAAGCAAGCTAGCCAGGCCACCGAGTCTGCTAAATGCTCAAACCCACAATGCAACAGAGACTCATGCCCAAGCCCGCCCACGCACGGGCCTACATTGTTCCCTACAGGTGGTGGAGGATGTGGGCAAAGCCAGCTCCAAGAGTACCCCCCCCCCCGCTGTCGCCCGCCAAGACCCTCTCCATGGAGCCGTGGCCAAAGCCAGACTATTTTATAGCATTCATGGAGATCAGTAATGATATTACAAACTCAGAAGAACTTTGGAAAATGAAGCCTCAGGGGAACCTGGAAGATGACAGTTACTCGGAGAAGCCTAGAATCTTCTGTGATGTCACCAGTGTTGTGGTGATACCAACTGCCTGTGGAGTATTCTTTCATAGCCTGCTGGGTTCACAAGCAGTCATGTTGTCCATGCTGCTCAGCGTATTTCAGAGGGACAATAGAATACAAGCAGAGACCAGATCTACGCAGAAGAAACTTTGTAAAGCTGGAAGAAGGAGATGGCCCTGGGGAAGACGCAGGTCTGTTGGGAAAGAATCATCCAAAGCCTACACCATCAGTGAGCAGGAGCAGAGAATGAAGAGGTTGGAGAAGCTCAAAAGGGATCTTGAGATGATGAACAAGGAGAGACACGAACTCCAGGGAATCCTGGCACATTATACAAACAAGGATTTGAATGACAGGATCAACTTCGAGGACATGATGCTCGAGATGGAACATGACCAGGTGATGACCAATCTCAAGAAAATTCCTCAGGAGATCAGTGAGGCCTTGTACAAGTGCAAGGAGCTGACTCAAGAAAATCAACTTTACTGCATCAGGAACTTTCACCTCCTGACAGAGTCTCTTCATATGAAGAACCAAGTAAAAATTCTGTGGAATGAGAACAGGCAGCTGCTAAGGGAGCAGATTGCACTAGAAGAGTGTTCTAAGGAAACAAAGAGGCTATGTGTGGAGGCCAGCATGAAGATATATGACAAGTATACCAAGCAGCAGCAGAAGGGTCTTCTGAGAAGGAGTCAAGGCCTTCATTTGGTCTAGCCTCTGGTCCAGCAAGAGTGCATGTTTGGAAGGCTACAGAGAAGTGCTGAGGGGCATCAAGATCTGCTGGTCATCCAGGAGGAGCCTGAGAATATAAATTTTTGCTTGTCCTGATGGGTCATCAAGAATAATTGACTTGATTGAATACATTGATTTCCCCATTTTAAGCTGACATTGAATGAATTTAATGTATTCTTATGTATAAAAACGTAATGTATTCTTATGAATAAAAACATAATCACTAATTTTCCGTCATAAGAAAAAAATAAAAATAATCAAGTTAAACTTTTGAGAAAATTGTAGATTTCATGTAGCTTTAAGACAAAAGTGGAAGGACTATAACAGTAAAATGGTAGATTACTAAGGTGTGGCTTCTCCGTCCCTGTATGGCCACACCAATTCAATGGCAATGGGAGGACAAATCCCTTTGTGAGAAATCCAGACACTAAATGATAGGCTCATGTTCCTATGAGAAGTGTCACTTTCCAAATTAAAACTAATGGAAAAAGCAGAAACATCCACTCATAATGCTTATTGCAAGAAGGTGCTCTAGATAGGAAGGAACCTCAACTCTCAGTCTCTGCCAGGGCTGTAATCCCAATTCTATAAAAGAAGTGAATTACACATCTACTATCTCAACTTCTCCAGGTTCTCCAGGTTGGCTTCTTCCATGTCTTAGAGCTTACAGAGCCTTACATCTTAGTAAGGACCATAGAGAATGAAATGACAACTTTAACTGGCAGGCATGTATTCAACACACCTCTTTTCTGAGCTGAAGAAAGAAGGGGTTGAAATTTCTCACTCTCTGATTCTCCCCAAGACAGGAATGGGTTCAGCCAGGCATCCAATACTCTAACTTCTCTAGAATCATCTGAAAGAAATGTCATCTGTAGAATTTATGAAGAAGTTTTAATGGAACTGGACATGATCTAGATACCTGGGATACATCAATACCAGTTCAAAACCTCTGATCAGGTTAACTGCTGAAAAGTCAACCCACAGGACCTAATTTTTGCTAATGTCAAGATACAAACACAGTCAAGGACATTGAGGAAAAAGAGAAGCATAAACCAAAGGAAAAGAAATACTGATTCCTTGAAAGTTTAAAAAATAATCATATGAAAGCCCACTAAGATCAGAAAAATGAATAAGCAATAAAAGTAAAGTTCAAAAAAATGAAAAGAACTTCAGAATTCTAGAAGACAAAAGAATAAATGAACTCAACATTGAACACAGGAGTCTAGAAGAACTATAAGAATCAGCAAATTCAAAAACAGATTATTTGAATTTTCCACTCAGAGACACAAAAATTGATAAAACAAAACAAAATGAAACAACAACAACAAAAAAACCAGGGATGACAGCTTAAGTGAACTATGGGACATCAATCACACAGACCAGTATATTCAGTGTAGAAATCTTAGGGAAAGAAACAATAAAAAAATTTATTTTAACAATTGGCCAGGCAGCCTGCTAGTAGTGGCACACATCTTTAATCCCAGCACTCAGGAGGATCTCTGTGAGTTTCAAGTCTGGTCTACAGAGTAAGTTCCAGGACAGCTGGGGCTATACAAAGAAACCTTGTCTCAAAAACAAAAACAAACAAACAAAACAAAGCAAGCAAACAAAAAACAAAAAACAAACCAAAAAATTGGCCAGGCATGGTGACTCATACCTTTAATCCCAGTACAAAAGAGGCAGATTCCTGAGTATCAGGCAAACCTGGTCTACATAGAGCCAAGCTAGTAGACTACATAATGAGATCCTGAAAATTCTGCAAATACAAGAAAATAAGTAGATGTCTAGGTTTAGAAAGTGAAAACACACACTGTGAATTAAAAGAAATCCATAATAAATTAAAATTAAAAGAAATACATAGTAGTTAAGTTATTAGAAGTTAATGACAAAAGGAAATGGTGAAAGCAGTAAGTGAAAACTAAGTTATATGAGAAGGAAATTTTCATATAATGATTCAAGACAATCTCTAGCATACCAGAAACAGGTCATTCTATTGGAATGATACATTCAAACTACTGAAAATGGGGAGAAAACCTTTCCAATCAAGAATATAATAGGAGGTGAAAAAGTTAAAGTCAGAAAATGAGTTTCCAGGAGATAAAAATGGAGGGATTTGTTACCACTAGACCTGATTTGTAGAAAATGCTAAGGGAGTTCTTTGAGTTGAAGGACTGATAAAGCGGCACTACACTCTCATGAGAGCATTTGGGACTTGGCAAAATTGATAAATGTAAATATTTAGATAAATGTGGAACATTTGGTTGCACTGCTGTTGGTGAATAAAGCCATGTGCATATTCCTTCTCAGGACTTTAAAGGAAGAAATTATCCCTTTAAGAGAGTACTCCAAAATGTGAGGCACTTGTTGGGCCTTATTGGTAACCATTTTTCAGCAGATCTACTCAGACAGGAAAGGAAAGGCTGATTGTCACTTAGAAGGGAACACATCCTTTCTCCTACCCTGAGGTTCAGTTTCTTGTTAAAACACACATACACACACAAAACAAAACAAAACAAAACAAAACAAAACAAAACAAAACAAAAACCTAGTATAGTTTGAAAACCCCTCATGCATTCATCTGACCAACAGATGATCAACTTGGGAGGATTATTTAAAGAAGCAGTGACTTATTTAATTATTAAAATTTTCATAGTTCTGCATTAAGCTTTGATTCTGGTTGTACACCCTGAGGCTATTGTTTCCCCTCCAGTATCTGAATGGACATCTTCAGTCGCCAAAGTAAAGCCTTTTTTTTTTTGTCTGTGGATCATGATGATTTTTATTTAACAATTTGATAGAGTTATCTGCATCCCTTCAATGTAAACGTTATATCATAGTGTTCACGAATGTTTATTTACTTGCTTCCTTTTTGTTTGTTTTCTTTTTGGATTTCTTTAGACAAGAGTATTATGTGTAACAAGCTGATCTCAGTCTCACTATGTAGCTAATTAAGCCTTGAACGTGTGCTCCTTCTAATGCTACTTCTGAATGCTGAGAAAATAAGCCTGCACCGTCAGGCTCAGGTTCACTAATTTTTTTATTCCATTATTTATTATTTTGGATGTGTAGATATCTCTGTGGCTTCACTACTATTTTCTTTGGGTTCAAATTGAACCTAGAGCAATGTACATGTTTTATCAATAAGCCATATACCTACCCTAGAAGAATTGTTCCTTAATGAAACATTTTAAGGTCATATTAATTTACTATATTGTTCTATACAAAAACATACTTGTTGATAAATCTTATCTAAGTGAAAATATGGTCTTCATTTTTCTACAGAAGGAAGCGTTTATTTAGAGAAATTATAAAATCAATTAACCCCCCCAAAGGAGTATCAATATACTTTGGTGAACTGGTTGAATTATCAATCAGGTTCATTTTCTAAATGATAGCAAATTAAATTTCTTTGATTCCAATTGTAGGTATGTACAGGATGCCTTTTAAACTTCCTATTATTTTACAATAAATTATTATGTATCAGTGCATGACAAACTATAAGTAAATACAATTGCGATGAGCACAATATGAAAGTCAATCTCTGGCAACAGAAATATAAAGCAGTATTTGAATTAGTATGGAAAACATTAGAAAGAAAATTCCAGGGAGGATTAAACCAGTATTGTGGGCTCTGTTTCTTTTTGGAATCTGAACCAGAAAACAGTTAAGTCTAATATTCAAACAGATGAGCCCAGAAGTCAGCCTATGTATATGTTATCCATCCAACTTTACAATCTTTCTTGAACCTTTCCTACCTATATAGGCACAGGCATTTGAATACTTGGTCCACTGTTGCTGGCACTGTTTGGGGGAAGTTTAGGTGGTGCAGCCTTACTGGAGAAAGTATGGAATTTGAGAGTTGAAAGCCTTGCTTCACTTCCAATTTGCTCTTTCTGCTTTCAGCTTGTGGTTTGTGATATGATCTCTCACTTCCTGCTTCTGTCACCGAGCCTGCCTGCTGTCATGCCTTTTATTTGATAACAAGTAAGGACAACAGACAGAGAGGAAATTAGTTTTGATATAGGAGGACAAGTGAAGGAACTTCGAGTATCATGAATGTAACTGAAGAAAGGAAACAGTAGTAAAGCCACAGAGATATTTGCACATCCACATTTGTTTCTATTTAAATATGAAATTGTGGAATTTTAAGGTAGATGGATAGAGAGAAAAATCATCCTGAGTGAAGTAAACCAGATCCCCAAAGATAAATGTAATATGTACTCACTTATATGTTGAGGTTCACTTTTTTTAAGCCTTTGTTTTACATGCTGCAATTTATATAATCACAAAGGTCTGGTATGGAATAAGGAACCGGGGGAGGGGAGATCTCCAAAGTTAGGGTAAATAGAATATATAGTTATAGACAGACAGGGGACTGAAACAGGATGACTAAGCCAAGAAGGACAAGAAAAGAGAGATTAGGGAGGGAATACAAGGAGAGACAACTAACACTAAGGGCCATTTGAAGGGTCATGTGTACACTTTCTACTCTAGAAGCTTCTTAAAATACATTCAAACATTAAAGAAATCTAAATGAACTCACCAAATGACTAGGAGAGACAATGCCCCAACTAGACATCATTTTCTGCTAAAAGAAATGTCAAGTGCCAGGAATGGGTTACATCAAAACTGAGTTGTTGGCTAAAGAGGCACCATGAAAACCCTCTAACAATTCAGTTTATTGCCAACATTATTGATTGCATCCCAAAATCTGATGGTCAGGCCATATTGCTAACGACAACACTTAAATAACTCACCAAAGATGGATAAGTTAGTGCCTAACTGGAGCCTTCACCCCTGCTGACTAGTGGTCATGGTACTGGAAAGTACTTTTCATGCTACTAGAGGAGATAGAAAAACATTTAACCAATGCAATAGTGACACAAACATTGTGGGAGTAACCAATCACTATCTGGATGGATTTGAGGTCCACTTATGAGATAAAATTCATGCCTAATACTATTCAGGTGGCCAAGAACTGA